ACAGTTTCGCCAGGCACCTTTTCTGACTGTTTAGCACTGGGGGCTGTTCGTTTGAGCTTTGGAACATCTGTCTAATAAAATGGTTTAGATGGGCATGCGTGGTGAGGACACAGAGTCTTTAAAGTTTGATGAAGTGAGGTTCTGTGGAGGTGTGTAGTGGTGCTGTTCTGATAAAGTGCCGGTGATGCAAGCAGCGCATGTGTTACTGTCTCTGTGTAGGGAACGAGAAGTGGGGCCACGATTTCCTCCAGCAAACAGCTTCGAATACGTGTTCGGGTTAAAATGGAAAGAGCTGTATGAGCTGGAAAGGCAGCGTAGAGCGCAACTGGAAGAAGAGCTGAAAGAAGCTCGTAGACGCTTGGAAGCTGATATGGACCTCGCTTACCAGGATTATCAAACTCAAATACTTCGTGAAGGCAAGGTTTTCCACACTTTTTTGCTTCTCTTTGTTTCAGTGATTTTTCTAACTGCGCAAGAACTCGGTTTTGTTGTGTTCGCAGTCCATCCTCGAAGCGGCCCTTTTCCGTTCACAACAGCTGCCATAGTAAATCAAGTACCATAACAAATAATTGGCAGTTTTGATTTTGCAGCAACCCTGTAAACGTTTATCTGTGTAAAAGCTGTGGACCAGACTCTGTTTCTAAGTCAGCAAACGTTTTATATTTGCGTTTCAGTTCCTAGCCTCCTTCATCATTTTTGATATGAATTTACAGTAATGTCTAAATTACTAAAGTCTGTTGAGGCGTTTTTTATAAAATTATTTTCCTCCCAAGAAATATAACGTTCTAGGGAATTTCAAGCGCAGTTTTTTAATGGCTGTTGGACTGCTTGTGACGACTTTCGTCTTTCGCTCAGATGCTTCATTTTAACTGAATTTTGCTATGTGAAATGCAGAAGCGCTGTTTATACTCACTTCTTTGGTAACAGTTAGGAAAGCACAACTGTGGTGAAAGTTTTTTGCGGTGTTTTTGTCTGATCAGATCAGTCGGCCGACTGATGTTCGCAGTTATACTGCTCTGTTTACAGTGGTTTCCCGACCCTGCTTCTCGAAAGCGCAGCATAAAAAAACGTGCAAATTGTTTCGGCCTCCGTTCACTCATGATATTTTGTTGCCATGATTGGGAATTTGTTTAATGTGATTTTTTTTTTTTTAAAAATTTACACTTCTGTCAGTGGAGCAAGCGAGTATCGTGGGAACAAAAGTTGTGTGGAATTGCTCAAATGATCACAAAATTGAGTCTGAAGTTGCGATTTTTCAGATTTTCTGTCGCATACAGAAGGGGGACACGACCAGGCTCTCTTCCGAAACCTAGGCGTAGTATTGGGCAAGTACTAGATCTCGGCTCGGCTGGTGGTCATTGGTGCTTGGGAAGCCCTTTGTCATCTCTGGCAACGGTGTTTCGTGGCGTTGCTCACCGGGTTCGTTTGGCAACCTGCCAAAGAAGCGGGGCAACTTACCCAGGCCGCAGCGGCTGTATAGCCTAGCTGGTGGGAAGGCGGGTAGTAGAGGGGTAGCCGTGGTTGTGGGAGTGTGTGGAAGGGTGAGTGGCGGTTGGTGGATGTACAAGTGTCTTCTCCTCCCATCTTTCTCTTCCTAAGCATCAGATTTCCCCATTTCCCCTTTTCCTGGCAGTGAAAACTGTGAGCAATGGGCGACCAAACTCGCCCCCGCCATTTAGCCCCTAAGCCGCACACCTTCCTCCCTCTGGTAATGAGGACTGAGAGCAGTGGGCGACGAAACTCGCCTCCGCCACTCAGTCCGTGTGGACTGGAGAGACTGAGTTTTGTGCCCAAAACTGGGCTTATATATGGGAGGAATGTGGGTGTAGCCAGGATAGGAGGTGTATGGATGACCTCAAGGGGCTGTAAAATGCGCCTACCTTGATACGTTACACATCACATATGCGTGACTTGAAAAGCCAAATAAATCCTTTACTTCTACTTTTTTATACGTTTTGTGCTGTGTAACAGCAGTACAAAACGCATATTGTTACGGGGTTGTCTGTGTGTGTGTGTGTTTGTGCGTGTGTGTGTGTGTGTGTCCGCAGCAACTTGTCCGCAACTTTCAACTCGGGAACCACAAAAGCTAGGAAAGCGCTGAATAGGGTAACGTTTCCCACCCACGTGTGACCCCACAAATTTAAATTCAGCTTCCCCGTACCCACGGGTAACGTGTACGGCCGGACGTTCCCCACCCATGTGTGACCCCGCAAATTTAAATTCAGCTTCCCCGTACCCGCGGGTAAGACGTTCCCCACTCACGTGTGACCCTTCAAATTTAAATTCAGCTTCCCGGTACCCACGGGTAACACGACCCACGTGTGACTCCGCAAATTTAAATTCATCTTCCCCGTACCCGCGGGTAACGCGTACGGCCCTGTGAAAGTTTTTTAACCACGTGTGACCCCGCAAATTTAAATTCAGCTTCCCCGTACCCGCGGGTAACGCGTACGGCCCTGTACGTGTGACCCCGCAAATTTAAATTCAGCTTCCCCGTACCACAGGTAACACAAACGGCCCCGTGAACGTGTGACCCCACAAATTTAAATTCAGCTTCCCCGTACCCGCGGGTAACGTGTACGGCCCCGTGAAAGTTTTTCACGGGGCCCCGCAAATTTAAATTCAGCTTCCCCGTACCCGCGGGTAACGCGTGCGGCCCTGTGAAAGTTATTTACGGGTAAGTTAATATCTCGGGAATCATGGAGTCTAGGAGGCTGAAGTTTTAGGGTAATGACCCCCTGCCACCCTCAACCTTGCCCACTCGAATTCAGCCTTCCCTTACCAGCGGGTAACACGTACGGCCCCGTGAAAGTTTTTCGCGGGTAAGTCACGGGTAAGTTAATATCTCCGGAAACTCGGGGTCTAGGAGGCTGAAGTTTTAGGGCAATGACCCCCTGTCCACCTTCAACCTTGCCCATTCAAATTCGGCCTTCCCTTACCCGCGGGTAACACGTACGGCCCCGTGAAAGTTATTCACGGGTAAGTTAATATTTCGGAAACCACGGAGTCTAGGAGGCTGAAATTTAAAAATAATGACCCCCTGCTCACGCTCAACCTTGCGCATTCGAATGCAGCGTTCTCTTGCTCTCGGTTACCACCTACGGCCTCGTGAAAATTTTGGCTTATTTCGGGAATCACGGAAAGATATTCATCCTTCAAGGTTTCGAATTCAGCTTTCATACGTTGGTGCGTAAAATTTTTAACTGTTTTCCAATGTTTTAACTGTTTTTGCCTAGACTAAAGCACAAAGCAACAAAAATCATTAATAGGCAATCGTTCGATCGGCTGAATTGCACAAAACGCATGATTGCACCGGCCAGTCTGGTGCGCGTTGCCATTTATTTAAATTATGCTGGCACCACATTCAATATACGGCCATCCGCTGTGGGGCAACCCTACCTACCTTCCGGGAAAAAAAATTTTTCGCAGATCGTGTACGAGACGAGCCGAGTCGAGCCAAGCCGTGGTTTAGTAGCTGTTTAGTATTGTCATATTTGTCTTGCTACGTTAAAACACATGTTCTTAATTGTGTTTAAATGAGAAATCTCTCATTGCTGAGCTGTTTTTACACCGAATCCTTTTAATTAAACACAGGTGTTTGAAGCCGGCTTTCCTCGCTCTTCAGTTTTTGTCAGGTCTTAAACCAATGTATAAGATGGTATCAGCGTAGGAATTGTTGCGATCGCCGTTTCTCCGAC